AAGCAACATCCTCCACAACTAGATTGAAGAACAAAACGACAGCAACTTGTCTGTTCCCCTTCCCCCAATTCCCCAGCACTGTTCCCAACCCCCCAATTCCCCAATAAAAAATCTTAAAAAAAAAAAAACAAAACACTCAGGTCGTGTAATAGGTCATCATCTGGCCTCTCCTAGCTACAAGTCTGATTTGCTCCAGCATGTCTTTGCTGATTCAAATTTCCCATTGATAATAGTGAATACAAATTATCTGACCCACTGTTGAGAATTAACCCAGTCAATAGCTGGGCCAGTACTATAGTTAAGAAGCAAATTAGCCTGGTCTCCACAAGCAGACTGCTGGCGAGTAACCATTAGTGTTTTAAAGCACTTCTGGGTTATTTATCTAACCTTACACTTGATTCAGTAACACCACCAATGGGAAGGTCACAACCATGTCAAATAATTGAAGACAATTCCAAGGATGGGAACTGTGGAATCTTTCCCTTAATATTTGTTCCGTAGAGGATCCTTGTCTTGTTCTTTCCACTGATGGGAGCGATCAGGTGGGATTCCTGAGGGACTCCAATAAAGAGGAAGTTCTCATGCAGACCATCAAACAACAAACAGAAAAATATGAAGCTGGCAATCACCGGATGAAATAGGGACCAATCTGCCAGATCAAACATTGATTTGGTTGCACGTTCAATGTCTTCCGGTTCGCCAATTCCAGGGCTAGGTTCATCTGCATCAGCAGGATATTGTCTAAATTTCCCTGACTGACCTGTAAAGTGATTTCCTTTAGGTATGACTGAGCAAGACCATCCGATCCTTCCATCGTATCATCCATCATGCTGGGTTGTAATATTTACAAATGAGCATATATGTTCCTCATACACCTTCTTTAAAATCCTGTTCCGTTCCCCCTGGCTGCCAGGCATGTAAATGCCATCTAGCCTCTGTTTCTCCCTTCCATATAGCAGGCCAGCCCCCATGCTTTCTCTGGAAATTACCTCAACACAGAGAGATGGCTCTAGTATCCACACCTGTCCATTTACCCTTTACCTGAGCCATGGTCAGCTCTGGAGCTAACCAGATGCTCTCTCCAGGGAATCTGAGCCCACAGAGAGACCTCTGGGGATAAACACCCAAGAGTCTGGTAACCCAGCTCCCAGACTATTTCAAGGCCTTGGGATTTCCTTTGTTACCTTCATTCCTTCCTTCCTTTTTTGGAAGGAACCAGCCTAATTCTGTTGTAACTCAGAGAACCCTGAACAATGTATTTCCTTAGTCTTCCTGGCCTAGACCACTTAGAACAGAGCTTGGTACCAAGCAGGCACTCAATAAATACTCGCTGAGTGAAGTGACGGTAAATCCTGCTACACCACAGACTTCCCAAGCACTAATTCTGTCAGAATTTACACCCGTGGACCAGGCTGGCCGTCTCCAAAAGGCGTCTACTCAACTACGACTTGAGAACAGTGCACTACTGAAAGCGCTCACCTCCCCACAGGCCACTTCCCAACCATACTGATGCGTTGAGCTCAGAGGTACTTACAGTTCCTCCTCCTCTCTACCTCCCATCAGCTAAGAGATCTAGGACGATCACTCCCCCTACTCTATTATCCTTTCCCTCCACTGTTACACGTCTGGCCCAAACCTCCATTCCTCTTATCTGAACTCCTATCTCAGACCTCCAGTTCCCTGGAACAATGTCCTTTCTTTCAGGCCCATTTCACATTTACACGAGGACTCTGGCTCAGTCTGGCTGCTGAGCAGAACCCCCACCAGCCTTTACCAGATGTCCGTTCCCTTCATTACCTTCTCTCAACTGGCTCACACCCGTGAGGAGTAAAAACTCACTTCTTTCAGGACGATTCTCCTGGTCAACAGCACCCAGCGTTTACCGTGCGTGACTGTTCACGCACCAGAGTTGTGTCCTCTGCCGAGTTACTGGTCAAAACGATCGTCTCTTTCACTGTTCTGATGGGATGCTGATCATCTCAAGCACTTCAAGCCCCTTAACCAAGCAAGCCCTCTCACCTCTCTCTCCTTGAGTGCTCTCTTGCCATCTCCCTCCTCTTTTGTCTCTCCCATTCCCGGCGAGCTTTATCCTGTTCTTCTCGATGACGTTTCCGGCGTTCGTGTTCTCTTTCTTTTTCCTTCACTCTAGCATGTTTGCCTAATGAGAAACAAGAAGTGTCACGCAAAGAAACATAACTTCTAAACACTGAATCTGAAAATACCCATGAAAAAGAAATAATTAATGACTTGGAAAAACAATCATGATTTTATGTTTAAAAAAACGATGAAGGGGCCGGCCGAGTGGCTCAACTCAGTTGGTTAAGAGCTTGCTCAAGAGTGCGAGCTCTGAGCAACAGCAGTTCAATGCCTGGCCCGAGCCGAGTTGCCGCTAAGCTGCCAACAGGTGGTAGGTAGTAGGATGGCTCAGCTAAAAAAAAACTAACAAAAAAAACCCCCCACAAACGATGAAGACATAAAATTATGCAGTAAGCTTCCAAATAAGTAAAAAAATAAAATAAAATAATGTGTGATTACTGTTAAATTGTGATTTTCATCGCATTTTAAAAATTTCATGTATTGAATCAATTGATTTGAATACATTATTTTCATAATTTATAAAATCACCATTCATAAAGAACATAGGACAAAGCTTAGCTCCTTTTAGTGTTTCTACATCATGTCATAAAACTGTGTCAATCAACTGCATTTATAATAAATGAGATTTAAATCAGGCCCCAAATCCTTAAACAGCTCTTGATATTGGTATGAGAGCCAATATCCCATTACTTGGACTTTATCAAGTACCCAATTTTCAGTTAAAGTAATTTAGCACTGAAAGGTGTGTTTTCCCCCTATACTTGTGAATTAAGACAATCTTATATGTAAACAAACTACCCCAGAACAATGTAATGATGGCATAAAAATGGCACAAGGAATATAAAATAGCTACTCACAATGACCTACAATAAATTTATGCTTTTAGCTAAAAGTTACCGTACTTTATCTTTTCAACTGTGCTCTGGGGAAGGCAGCACATTATGAACTAGGAAACAGACCACACTTGACTATGATACAAAAGAAAACAAATGCTTCTGTACCCCCTTCTGCTGAGTGACTACGATGCCTACGTTTCTCTTTTCTCTTTTCATCTTTCCTGTGATGAGCTTTTTCTTTCCGAGACATTTGCTGGGGCGGTTTAATAGCCAAAGAATCATCTTCCTCTCCTCTGAAATAAGAAACAACATGTCACATTGTGCTCCAGTAAATGGCATAAAGAGCTTCTTTAACACAGAAAGATGCAGGGTTCAGGAGATGAATCAAGTTGAATCTGAACCATCACTTAAAAAATTATATTAATTATAATATTTAAGCCAAGACTGTAAATTACATAGACTCATATGAAAAGTACAAGTCAGAAATCAATGTGGTATACACAGAACAAAACTGGGGGGTAAAAGACATGTTCATATCTTGATGGTGGCTAGTTTCACATGTGTGTGAAAATGTATCAAATTGCAGTTTACATATGTGCAGTTTTTTGTCATTTATACCTCAATAAAGCTGTTAAAAAAAAGGCCCCACACTTTTAAACGAACAAAATGACCTAAAAGATCATTTAACAATATCCTTTATTGACTATATGACCAAAATCTTAGAATTCACACCCTACACCTTTTTACCTTAATTTCTGCTTATGTAGCCTTTAATTATTTGTTGAGGGGTGAGAGAAAGAAATAAGTAAAGAGCGACCATAGCGCAGGAAGAAATGTCAGAATGTACAGACCTCGGTAGGACCATTTCTGCTCAAAGCCTCTGCTCAAAAATCTTTCAGCATTCTGTTTCGGTTGTATACAATTTTAGACAGTCATTTTACTAATCATCACAAACATACAGCACAACTATTTAAATGTACTATGTAAATGTTACTGACTTGACTGAAGAATTCTCACAAAGAAAGGAATACACACACTTGTTTAGTCTTTCCATAAGAAGAGGGGCGAGGTGACAGCTAACACCACACAAGAGTCCATTCCAGTTGTGGGCAAACTTCGCTAGTCATGACTACAGACTTTTCCAAAGGCCCACTGAGCACGGCCGGCTGGACCACCGACCGCTATGTAGTGCGACCCAGCGCGTGTCCTCGGTTTGGCGTGCCGGCAGCCTGGGCACGCTTTCTCACCATGCAGCGCCCCCTCACCTGTCTTCTGTGGAGTCCTCCCTTCTGTATGGCGAGTTCCTGATAGTTATCTCCATGCGGTGGTCCCTCAGCTCCCCCTCCTCAAGGGAGTCTCGCTTGGAATCCCGCTCATCAGACTGAGAAGCAAGGAGAAAGTAATTTTCCTCACAGAGAAGCATATTTTTAATGATAATCAAACCTTGCCAACATCCACAAACAAACTTTCATATACACGTTGAATGCACCCATGTTATAAAACACAAAACGTTTCATTCAAATCCCATGACGTTAAAATTACAGCTCTCTGTAACCCGGAACCTCAGATGAGAAATTTAAAACCAGCATATGACAAGGGACATTAGACTCTATGCCAACTATGTTAGTTGTTTATATGAGCCAAAATTGAGCCTTAAAGCATAATCTAGTCACCAAATACTCTCATGACACTCATAAATACGTAAGGGCTTGCTGCTAATCTTATCAGAAGAGGTTATTCTACCAACAGCCCTTATCAAATTACTAGAAAATTTTCCTGAGTACGTTATTATGCAAACCAAGAAAGATAAAACATCAACTTCGAGGTAACATCCAATGATGCTACAAACACTTAGAAATGGTATCACGAATATACTAATAATGAAAAGAGAAAAGTTAGTCCAATTGCACTAATGACTTTAGGCTCAAAATACTTTATTCTCCATGTAGATACTGTCATCTGCATACAGCTTTAGTATGTTATCAATCTGTCTGGATGATGGAAACTGAGTATTCGAATGTTTTTGTTAATTTTTAGAATAGATTTTGGGCTCACCTGTGACATTTGGAAGTACAAAAGAACTTCACCGAAGAAGCGTTGTTCTAATGGAAAAATGAGGGCAAGAAATTAAATCTCCTTTAAAAAAACCCCTTACTCAAAAAACATGGCTTACATTTTTTAGGCGCTTTATCTCTGCTTTCTCCTCTTGTTCCTTCCGTCGTTTTTTTTCCTGAAGAATTTCATCTAAAGTTTTCACTTTCCAAGAGTCCTTTTCATCACCCATTTGAGTTCAAACACTGCGAAAATAACAAGAATTCAGGCTACGTCAGGACACTGCAAGCTGCGGTTTGATGCGACGCTGTCTCTGAACCCTTCCGGGCGCTTCGGGAAGAGGGACGGGCTCTGAAAGGTGACAGCCTGGACCCGCGGCTCCTCCCTGCCTTTCCCGTACGCGGTCTTGGGAGGTCACTTCACCTCAGCTTGCCCTTCTGTAAACCGTAAGCACACCGCCCGCACAGCGGCACCGTTCCGGGAGGACACGAGTGCCTGGCACTCACCAAGCACTGCCGCTGCCGTCAGAATTTACTAGAAAGACCATACGGGCTGCGTGAGCCGCTGGCCCAGCTGACGGCCGCAACCTCCACCACAGGACAGCGGGGGCCAGGGGTGAGGGACGCCCCGCGAGAGCGCGCTCGCAGACCAGGCCGCCCGCGAGGCTTTCACTGCCTGGGGTTCAGTCGCGCTAACCCGGGGGTTGGCGCGGGGCGTGTCGCCCGCCCGGCCCGAGAGCTTGGGTGGGCCGAGGGCCACTCACCCCTGCGCCGCCGCCGCCGCCGCCGCCGCCGGTCCCGGAGCGTGAGGAGAAACAGCGGCCGGCGCGCGCCACGAGCGTCGTCACTTCCTGTGTCGGCGCGGACTGATGACGCATCAGGGTAGGGCCTCGCCGCCAATTTCGGCCCCGAGACAAAATAGTGCCCGGGGTGTTCCTTACGTCACTTCCGGCCGCGGCGCTGGCTGATGACGAGATCTGGAGTGGAGCCGGTCCCGGGGGTGGGGGATGGGGAGTGGCGCCCCCGCCGCGCTTGGCCTGCGGAGCCGGGTTCTCTGCGCCCCCCCGCCAGGTCGCCGGCGCCGGCCCCCCCCCCGCCAGGCCCCCTCCGTGCAGCGGACAGTCGCCCTGTGTGTGCCCCCCAGCGACCCAAAGCCGCGAGCTTGGCGCTGAGGGTGGTCCTCCAACAACGCGATGGCTGACTGAATTTTCAGATACGTTGGAAAGTTGCCCCCTCCAGCCACGCATTTGGCTCTGCCTTACCAAAGAAACACACAAACGACAAAACCCGGGGCTGGAAGAGCTGTTGCCGCGGCTTTAAGGCTTGTGCTCAGACGCTGGTTCTCCATACGCGACTGCCTACCCAGATCCGCCCGCGGAGCTTTTAAGGCCCCCAACTCCAACGCCAGTCTCAAACTCGCGGAGGCCATTGAATGAGAAGCCCTCTTCCCCGCGTCAAGTTATTCTGTAGACCTTTGTTGTTTTAAATGGTCACAAAGAGTGATAATTCAACATCCTGAATCTCAGGGAAGAGAATGCAAGATAAAGTTTTGTCCACATTTACTAGACCTGAAATGGAAAATGTAGAATGTGACCCAAAAAATTAGGGCACCACAAAGGCGAGTTTAATTGGGATTGTTTTCCCTCTCAGAATGAAATGTTTACTTTCTGTATCCAGCCTTTTATTTTGCGTACTGAGTTCTCGGTGACAGGAAAACCATGTTGAACACTGGGCAAGGCAGGCGGAAACCACCCGTGATCACTTCAGGAGCATAAACACGAGGAAACAACGAAGGGCTCGCTGAGCATTTACTTTGGCTGAACAAGAGTCACGGCTAGTGGCTACCACAGTGGCTTAACTCAGACAGACATGACAGGAGGCGCCCGCAGGCACGGTTACACAACGTCAGTTTATTATCATAGCAGAATCAAGTGACTCACTAAATTATTTACCAGAACCATTTTCTAGAAAGTACTGATCTAGTCACACAAATACTGTAATACGTGAAATACAAAACATGACAGACATTTTACACTTTCACTTTTCCACAGTTTTGTTTGGTATAAAGCAAATATTACTTGGCTCTGATGTAATGGTTCACTGATATAACTTTCAAGTTTTTCAGTGTGGGGACATCACCCTGACTGGCCGGCCATTCTCAATGTGGAGCCCACAACCCCCTGGGCAGGTTCAAACTCACATTGGTGAATATTATAAAAACTTCAAATTGGCTAACTGCCAGTTTTCCTTAAAAACTGTAACACACACACACGGCTTTGCCAGTTAGAACAGTTTCCAACTCAGTTTGGACATCTGGGCATGGATCCAGTGGCCATCACACTCAGAATCAGAGCCCTCAGGAAAACGGGAGGCAAGAAGTTCAGAGACAGCAGCGTGGAAGGGTTTATGCTCTGAGCTGCTGGGGGGGGGGACCCCACGCCAGGGCACAGAGAAATGGGCAGACTCTTTGGGGACCTGGGGCGTTCTTGTTTATAAACCAGGAAAAGGAAGGGGCCCCAACCAGGGCATGTACATACTTTGGAAAGAAGAAAGCCCTTAGTTCAATGTGTGTCGAGGAAAGCAGAGAAGAGGACTTTGAGCTGTAGAAAATCCTTATTTAATTTCTCCAGCCCAGGGACACCGTGAAGACACTTTCAGGCCTTAGGAAACTCATCACCTGGACAAATGAAAAAAGCCATTGTGCGTCTGACACACACACACACACACACACACACACACACACAGCCTAAGTGACCATCCACAGGACAGTGGCACAACAGGAATTGAAAGCCACTGGTGTGGGGAAAGTATTTCAAATGCAGGTGACAAGCACAGCTTCATGTAGCTGATACGCTTAGCATAACACTTTTTTTTTTTACTGTCTCTGATTCACCATGTTTATTTTTTCTCAAATTAAAGACACATTTTGGGTTGTGCAAGGGTATCCTGAGCTTTCCAAGGCAGATGATTTTAATGCTGATCTGCAGAAATTATGACTCGTGGAATTTAAAAACAAAAAGCTTTTTATGTCACTCTGGGGGGGGTTTCCTTGAGCCATCTCTGACACATAAGTAGATGGCCAGCCTCGGGAGCCTGGATCCAGTGTGGGCTTGTTTACAAAGGCACAGATAACCACAGACACAGGAGCCGCCGACCAGTGTGAGCAACGACACTCAGTATCAACGTCGGTACAAGCACATCTGCGACAGCTGAGGACATATTATAAAAACTAGATAAAGGTAATAAAAAACATGTCATCTCTGTACAGTCATTAAACAAATGGTCAAGCCAGGCTGCGGGTTGTGGCTCTCAGCACTGGGTTGTCCTGGACATGCCTGTGAAGTGGGCGACTCGGGCGGACGTGAGACTTAATGGGAGGGCAGTGGCGGCCATAGCCGGGATGAGAAGTCTCAAAAGCAGCCTTGCAGGAAATTGCCTCACTTACTAATAATTTGGCAAAATCTCCGTTTAGTTTCTGGTCCCAAAATTTAGAAAATCAAAACCAGCTGATAGCCACTTGTGAGAGTGGAGGGCGGGGCACGTCGCGGGCTGGAGCTGCATAACTCCACGATGCATGGGGTACAGAAACCCCTGACAGTACTCGGCAACAGGCGGCTGCATTTCTGATTACACTTAGATGACAAAGTCTGCAAGAAGGCCAACATGAAAATCCTGCAACGGGGTGGCGATACGTGTGCCCCTTTGCCTGTTCACATCCCACTGTCAGCCGCAGGCACTGCACCCATGTTCTCCAGTGCACAGGCAGGAGCCCTGTGGAAGCAGTGTTTTCGCTCTGGTCTTCACAGATGAGCGCAGCACCCCAGCACCCCGGCCATCACCAACGAGTCCTCTTCAGTTTTGTTTTGGGGGGAAGCAGAAAAAGAGGAAAGGGAGTAGGAACCCGGGGCAAGTCCCAGGAGAAACAGCTTCACAGTGAAGGTGAGCTTGTCATGCATGTGAGCACACACCTGCCTGTCCTCTGGATGCAGGTCAGCTTCGCAAAAAGGTTGGTTGTAGTTTAAAAAGCTTCATTTTAATCCCTCGCTGTGGCAAACTTTTTCAAGTAGGCAGAACTTAATGAGACATAATTATTGCTCTTTGTTTCCAAGAGATGTGATCTCCCGAAGAGGCTATTTTTATATTTTCCAGTTGAGAAGCCAACTGGAAAACCAGTGGACTGATCGTGAGAGCCAAAGGCCTGACCAGCAGGGAGGGAAATAAGATTTAGGGACAAGGGCGCCTTTGGTCCCCTTTCTCAGTTGGTGTACTCAGTTCCAGCAGGCAGGCTGTGGTGGTCAGGTGGCCAGGCCGCCTTGGACCACCGAGTGGGGCTGCCCTATGGGGAGGGCCCCAGAAACTGGCTGGCGGTGGACGTGCCCCATCAGAAAGGGGGGTGAGGGATAGTGTGAAGCGCTCAGGAGCCTCAGCCCAGCACAGGGCTCCCGCACCTGCCCATCCACTCTGGGAGGGGAGCCCGCCGCCAGCCTGTGGGTTCAGAGTGTGACATACATGCTGCAGTCCAGAAGCCACCTGCGCCTGCGTCTCCTTTTTAAAAAATTACATTCTCATTTTCAATGCTACAGTGTAATGGAAACTGTAAACACTCCAAGTGTTCCTCGGCCCTCACCCATTCAGGAGGAAAAGTGTAATGTCTTCATGGTGAGACACGGGCGGTAGGGGACCCTGCACAGCAGCTGACTCCAGAGCAACGGAGGGCGGCATCCCCTGCCTGAGCTCAGCACTGCGCGTGTGTCCCAGCCTCCAGGGCTGGAGCCCCTCGGAAGCGGGGGCTTAGTGCAGCAGGTGATGAAAGACCCCCCTGCCTTCCTGGAGTGACCTTTCCCTAAGTGGGACCGGCTGTTGGCAGCCCCAGGTGGGGGAGAGGACGCATCGGGTAGGAGGGTCGGGTGGCAAGGCAAGGGCCCAACACCCCACCCTCAGCAGCAGGGGCCCCCTGTTTCGGAGCCCTGTGTGTCCCCTCCCCACTCATTGCCTGGCTCTGTGGCCTCTGTACCCAGGCAGTGGGCACCTTGGCCTTCATTCCAGCACAGTGGTCTCCCCACATGCCAAGGAGTGGGCAGTGCCTTCAGTGGCTAGCGTGGGGAAGATGAGTTCTGTCTGCTGGCACCAAGCAGACAGCAGCCCATGTTGGCACCTAGACCCAGCTCTGACTTCACAGTTGTCCCCAGTGGTTTTCACCCGGAGGAATGGGGGCCTAACTGCAGTCAGGCCTCGTGCCCTGCGAGGGCCGTGCAGAGGCCGGTGAGTCCAGACCCCTTCCGTGCGCTCAGCGTGGGGCAGCGGGAGGCCGTGTTCACATTTTCACATCATTGGCGATGGCTTGGCGGCAGGCAGCTGGCTCTGGTCTCCGCCCCCGGAAGCTGGCGTCTGGGATTCCATTCAAGTTCCCGCTGGTTTTGCCTGAAAACCCCAGAAAGGGGCAGGGAAGGCTGCACGGGCCTGGTCTCCTCACCCCAGCTGTGACCGTGGGGGTGGGAGTGGCCAGGGGGCAGAGAGGGCAGGGATCCCGTGTCAGCGAGGATGGCAGCAGCGCGTGGCATCGGGCACCTGCCGAGGCCTGAGCTCAGTGGTGCGGCCTGGCCTCCTTGGGGACCAGCGGCTCAGCGCTGTCCTCTGGTGTGCGGCCGGCAGCCACGGCCAGGGTCTGCATGGCTTCCCGCTGGTACTGCTTGGCCTTGTTGTAGAGCAGGACACCAGCCGTGACCAGGATGGTGCCCACGGCTGACAGGCTGGTGACTTTGTTGCCAAAAACGATGATACTGAGCCAGATGGACAAGGCATGCTTCACGGTGCTGGCGACACTGTAAGACAGAGGGGGCAGTGATGGCCCGGACAGGCCTGGGACCGGCGGCAGGCTCCGGGCGCACCAGCTCCGCCCCCCTCCTGTGGGTGGCAGGACTTCCTATCAGGAAAAGTGCCAGGCAGAGACAGCAGGGGACGCCGCGATACACAGCCCAGTTCCCACCTTCCAGATGTACAATGAACATTTTCCCTTATTTGCTTCGGCCTTTTTTTGACTGAAGTATTTGTAAGTAAATGACAGGCACAATGACATTTTACCCCTAATCGCTTCAGCTGCTCTCTAAACAAAGGGATGTCCACGTCCCTGCGGCACTTTTGTGGCACATAAGAAGAGACAATTGCGCTGTGAAGCGGCACTGTACACGCCATGAAAATGGATTAAAGCCAAATCCACCGAAATGCGAGCAGTGCCGTGTCTCGGGGTTATGGGTAATTTAAACTTTATCTTTTGTCCTTCTCTGCCTTTTCCAATTTTCTATAGTGAATATTGTTCTTATAATACAGATTATAATAGGAATTTTTAAAGAAAGTTATTTTCTTTAACTAGAATTAGTTTTCTGTTTTTTGTCTTTTTCTGAACCAATGCTAATGATCACTGAAAAACAACTTTGTGCGACAGTGACCTCAAGAGAATTTAGTGACAGGAGAACGTAGAAATGACGAGTGTTCCCAATGGTCCTGCAGACACCTCCCATTCAGGACCCAGGAGGGTGAGGGCCGGCTGGGCAGTGGTGCCGGTCAGAGCACACTGCCCGCGGGCCGGCGTCTGACGTTTGCTGCTGACTTGGGCCCGACTGAAACCAGTAGGCCCATGAGCTGCCCCACAGAGCGGCCACCGTGCTGAGCCCCGGGGAAACTGCGGCTGCTGCCCGTGCAGCCCCACGAGGCCTAAGGGCAGCATGCAGCCTTCCAGCCTATGCTGTCTTCACTCAGGGACAATCCCACTTCTCCAGTGACAGTTGAGAGGTTAAAGAAAAAGGCCCACTGCTCACACAATGTGATGTGGCCAAAGCTGCTGACATCACAGTTTGGATTTCTAGGTCTGCAGGCGACCTCAGCTCATTCCTTTCCAGTTGTTATTGAAAACTGTCCAGCTTTGAAGCTTGTTCAGTTATACAAGTGAAAGGCAGCTTGCGAGGCTCAGGGCTGCCATCCAGTGTGGGAGCTGACGGCCGGTGTGGCCACGCACACCAGGGACTTGGCCTCACCCCACCACCGCGTTTCAGGAGCTCTTTCACCTGCGGCCCATGGCCCGTCCCGGGCAACAGACAGGGCATCCCATCATCGCAGGACGTCCACTGAGAGCTGTTCCAGACAGAGCAAGACTCAAGCTATCGCAAACAATTCCGGCTCCACTCTGAAGATTTCCAGTGGGCGTCTCCCTACACATCTGTTTGTGTTTCAGATTGTGCCCACGCAGCGTCCTGGCCATCACGACATGGGCCGTGCTCATCACGACAGCCTTTGCTAGAGCACTTTGCCACACAAACACCTCTTGTGAAAACAGGGCTTCAGGCCTGCTCTGCAAATAGTTTGGGCGACTGTCTCCTGGGATGCTGCTGTCTTACCTGAAAGTCACAGGGGAGATCCTGCCCATGAGCGCGTACGCCGTGACGCTCTGCAGGTGGAACAGCACACCGTCCGTCAGCAGCAGCAGCACCACGTCCTGTGTGTAAGCAAAGCTCTTCCCGCTCCTACCAATCACCGGCAAGTCCTGTGCCGGAACAGAGAGGCCCTAGCATGCCTGCCGTCACCGTGCCGCCCACCCCAAAAGACAGGGCTCCACGCGTGCCAGTGACCTGACAAATGGACCGGCATGAGGGGCGCCCTGCAAACAGCCTTCTGAGGCAGCCACTGAGCGGCGCTGATCAAGATCCTAAATACGGTACACGCAGCCAGCGAGCACATGAAAGACGTCGGGAAACGCAGATCAGACCAGAGACACCACCTCACCCCCATTAGGACCCACAGGACAAGACACCCCCAGAACATGACACTGTTGGCGAGGACATGGAGCGGCTGGAACCCTGTGTACTGCTGTGGGGATGGAAATCAGTGCAGCTGTGACAGAAACGGTGTGGAGGCTCCTCCGAGTTAAACACAGAGCGACCAGATGACCCAGCAACTCCACTTCCGGGCATGTCCCCCAAAGCACTGAACGCGGGGACTTGCACACCCATGTTCTCAGCAGCGTAAGTTATTCACAACAGTCCAAACATGGAAGCAAGCCAAGCGTCCACCAGCGGACAAGTGGACACGCGACGTGTGGTATGTTTGCACGTGGGGTATCACTCGGCCTTGATGAGCAGGAGGCCCTGACCCGCTACAGCGTGGGTGAGCCTGGGGGGCACTGTGCTCCATGAAACAAACCAGACATGGAAGGCAGACACACAGATGGGGACCTGGAGTGGCTGAGTTCACAGAGATGGGAAGAGGAGGGTGGGTGCCGGGCTCGGGGAGGGGAGGAGCTCCCCAAATCTGCCACTTGCCATAAAGATTATTTTGAGTGAGAGGTACTTAAGAGAGCAGTGTGGGAAGGGTGCTCTGACAGCCCTTCTTGCTGGAAAGAGGAGATGAAACCCCCGTATGGAAGACATTCTCCCCGTCCCAGGAGGAAAGGGACATTCTTATCAAGCAACAGGAGTGAGGCCAAGGGCACTGTGCAAACAGGCCGTGTCAACATGACTGTCACCCCCCTCAGCACCCCGCTCTGCTTGGTGATGTCCCCACAACTGCCTCTTTACGATGCAGGAAGTCCTCGCTGAACGTCGTCCAGAGGTTCTGCAACTGTAAGTGGAGCGACGGTCTTCGAGGACTTGCTGTATCAGTGCTCGGGTTCTGCCACTGCTTTGGGTCTCCATTTCCTCCTGCAGGCTCCTGTGCCACGTCCAGCTGTGTGCCGCTCCTGTCACTAATTCTCAGGCCCAGCCAGAGACCCCAGGATGGGAGAGGTGAAGTCCTGTCCCCTTGCAGGGGGAAAGGGGGGGGCAGCGTTTAATGGGAACAGTGTTTCGGTTTGAGATGATAAAAAGGTGCTGGCGATGGATGGTGGCGATGGCTGCACCGCTGTGCAAACGTACTCAATTACAATCGAAAATTATCAGAATGATAAATTTTGTTATGTGTATTTTGCCACAATTAAAATAATTTTATATACGCATATTCTTCCAATCACACATTCCAATTCCAGGAATATAGCCCAGAGAAACTTCCACTGAAGGTGTGACAGGAAAAGTTCCCTATTACTGTGATGGGACAGGGCAGCTCTCTGCCACATACACCCAGAGTGAGACAACAGGACAGGGCCACCCAGACCCAGTGTGTCTGTTAAGGTTTGGACCTCGTCCGACGAATGGGGCCATATGAGTCCTTTCTAGCCCCACAGACACGTTCAGGAAGGGGCCCCTCCAGGAGTGGGGCCCAGGGACCAAGAGACTCACCTTCCCTCTTCTTTCATCCTGTACACCTACCCTGTTGATTGTCCTACGGTGGGCAGATGCCACTTTGAAATTCTAATAATAAATAAGCGAGCCCAAAACCCTCACACGAAAATTGCTGCAAACCGGCCTCTGGAGGCATGAACCTGCCTCAGACACCCGCACAAGGTCTGGCTTCCACCTTCTCTCCCTTCTCTGTGGGGGCGCGCCGTGGGCACAATTCAGCAAAGCACGGCAGTAAGCTGGAAAGGTAGCTCCTGGCCCCCATCGCCCAGGGGCGTCTGCTCCCAGAACTCACCATGAAGAAGATCCAGGCTGGGACCAGCATGGCCACGGCCGCGGCACTCGTGTAGAACTGCAGCTCGGCGGCCCTGCGGGGACAGGGGCGCCTAAGGGTCCACTTGCAGAGGCCAGGCTTCCACCCAGACTCACAGCGACACTCGCTAAAGGGCCCCAGTGCACTAGAAGTCTGTGTTCCCTGGGATGACAAGGAGGGCCTGTGTGACAGAGCCAACCCCCAGAACGGGAAGTGGAGGGCAGCCCGCTGGGCTGGTCCCGAGGGTGCCTATGGGGCAGCTGCAGACACTGGGGTTTTCTTCCAAGTTTCACCAGGGCACTTAAAAGGCCACCTGCACCAAAGTGGGGAGTGCATCAGGGCCCCAGGGCACACTGACCTGCACGCGGGCAGGACATCCTCCCGGCACAGGAAGGCGCGATACTTACGAGAACCTGTACTTGTCCCCGCTGAGGAGTTTTTTTGAAAAAACATTTTGCAAACTGGAATAAAGGAACAAGAGGTTACCCGTCAGGACAGGAAGTTAGCACGGAGCCTGCACTAGACAAAGCGCATGTGTCATTCCCAAGCAGTAACGACAGTGGTGGCCCCTGGGGGATGGCCCCTGGCATCTGCTATGAGTTGGGCCCACATGGGCGCTTTCCAGGCATCACTCCGCCATGAGGGAGCGCCATCCCTGCCTTTTACGGATGGGTAAACCAAGGCGCTTGGAGGCTGAGCGATGTGCCTGAGGCACCCCGCTCTCAGGTGTCAGAGGACCCCAAGTCCCTGCTCTGATAACTGCATGGAACCCCACTCTGAACCAAGAGCTCCCCTAAATCAGCAATGGCCTCGAGCCAGGCACCCAACGTGTGGGAGTGAGTGAACACAGCAGGCGTTTAAGCACACGAAGACCCCAAGAGGAAAACATGGAGGAAACCCCTGGACGGGAAAGACAAAGTGTGGGAAACACACATGCAACAACGAGAAAGCGGGGCCGTCCTCGTCCCTGGGAACCAACGGGGCCGGCACGTCAACTACTGACACTGCTCTCCCGGCTCTAGCAGCTGGGGCTGCTTTGCTTTGTGTTAGTGAAAAAACCTAGGTGAGGACAGTGTCAGACAGAAACTCTCGCAGACACAAGGATAAAGCAGAACCATTGTTCTGAGACACTGACAGCACGGACCAAGAGCCTTCCGGGCCGTCTGCAGGCTCCACCTCCCTTCTGGGGGTCCACACTATGGACAGTCAGAAACGAAGATGGAGGCTCATGTGGAAAGATGTCCTCTGCAGATTTAGATGGAAGACTTGTCGTGGGAGGTAGAGGCGGGGCAGTCACAGAGCTCGGGCTACGGGAGTGCGCAGTGCAGGAAGCAAGGCTCCCAGGATGGCACGAGCTCACCACACAGGACATGCACTGAACGGCAACCTGACCCGTGCCACATGTCTAGGGGCTACGAGGGCAGAGGCCAACACATCAGATTGTTAGCGATGGATTAAAGAAGCTGTGTGATTCGGAACCTCAGTGACAACAGCAGGAAATGCTCCGGTACCCGCGTCACTTCCTCTTTTCTAGAAACGGGGGGGGGGGGGGGGATCCAGAAACGACAGCCCTGCTAGGTGCAGTATGTCGCCTGCATAGATGAAGACAGCCAATCCTGGACTAATGGTCACAGCCAGGGATGCAGTGTGTATCCGCTTTGTTTCACTTATCTGGCTTCTTTTTTGAGAAAAAGCTACTTCATTGGGGCACTTACTGCTTTGCTGTTTAGGAAAAGGCGGCATCAGCTGTGCCCAGCTTTGAATTACGGGAAGCAGTTCTGAGTGGCTCTGGACTGAAATGCCAACAGCCATGAAGAACAGTGGGCGCTGTCCCCAAGCATGGCACATGTCCCCACGCCCCTTGGGACTCACCAGTCCATGATGTTGGTGGACAGCGCGGCCGAAAACCCCAGGATGTTGAAGCTCATCTCGGTTGCCGTGCATAGTGCCAGGCCTCCCATGACCGGGACGAGGGAGAGGTTGACCAGCAGCCCTGAAAGGAACACATCACAGAGCCTGGCTGTGACCAGTCTGTCCAGCTGCCAGTACTCTTCTCAGAGTCCTGGTGGCACCCTCCCTTCTCAGGAAAGCTGTGGATCTTCCCATAAGTTCAGGGCCAACACCCATCGGATTCTTTGTGCCAGAGGGAGACGCAGCAAAAAGCCTGCATGTGCAGGCATCTGTCCCCTCTCCAGGCCAGGCCCCTTGGCGGCTCTGAGGCGCGGCTCGGATGCGAGTCCTGTGCCCCGAAACCCACCTCTCCCGGCACCCATGGCTCCACGAGTTGTCACTTGCAAAGGCAGGAGGTGATTCTATTAAAGAGGGAAAACTGGGGTGGGGCTGTGGCTCAGTGCCTGGCGTGGGGGCTTCTACAGGGACCCACGCTGCGTTCACACTCCTTGTTTCCTTCTGAAGTCTAATAAGCAACCTTGACTTGAATGGTATGAGGGAAACTCATTCTCCCTGGAAAGGGCACCAGGCGACCTTTTGAACCTCTGCCTGGACTTCATCAGGTCTACTGGGAAATTCAGTGTGGACTAGGGTATAAGCCTTTCATGTTTGGCAAAATCGACCTCATAGGACAAGGGCCATGTCCCCGCCACAGGACAGTGCCATCCAGAGCAGGTGAGCCGGGGAGTGTGCACGTCAGTTGCCCAGCAAACCCACGGCCCTGCGTGGTCAACGCATCTGCCTCACCCTCCAGGAAGGACTGGCTTTCTTGGCTGGGGTGCAGTCCAGGGGCAGCTCCTCTTGGCAGGCCCTGCCGGCTCTCACCCCTCCACCCACGAGGCTGCTGCTCTGCAGGGAGAGTGCCACTCTTGGGGTCACTTCCCTGGGTGACCACTGGCACTGTAATCTTGGCCCCTAAAGTCCTTGTACCTCGGTCGTTCTCCAATGCATCCCAACAGATTCCTTTCTAAATCTCATCACACTTTTCTGTTCTCGGTGACAGATTGTTTGCGTTGTGCTTGTCCCATAGCTGGAAGCCCTATCACGGTGTTTCAAAGTCATGGCAAATATACCCTTTTCCTGCAGCTAAGCCAGGCCCACTCATGTCATGTTGCTCTTCACACTTCGATTTCACTGTTTTACCAACACGACAACGTTCGCACAGTCCCAAGGGCACAGCTGCGAGAAGTCCGGCTGTGTCCTGTCCCCTCCCCCTAAGGCAGGTATGTGCCCTATTCTGAGATCATGTCATTTTCCTAACAAATACGTGTGCGTACATGAGCACCCCTAGGTAACAGGTTATGTGTTACGTGTGTCACCTGCCCTTCATCTGTCTTCCAGGGAGCACGCTGCTTTTTAAAGGTCTGGTTGGAACACCAGAGGCGTGGGTGCCGTGTAGCTGGAAACAGAGCGTCTTTCCTTAACAGCTGGAGATGTGCAAATAGACCGATTGGCTGGCCCTTGGGGAGGGCAGAGCGGCACGGCTGAAAGGCAGCAGGGGCCCCACAGCTGCTCATCCTTGCCAGGCACCATCTCGCATGGGCAAGGAGTTCTATCTTCCTGGCACGAGTGGCGGCGTGAGTGATGACACCCGAGGTTACTTGCTTCTTGCCTTTTCCCAGTCGGACCCTCTGACCTCCGCGTAGTCACACAGCCCCACCAGGCAGAGGTGAAGACACACGCACTGAGGTGAACGTGCCAGCCAACTTGTGACCACTGGAAACATTGCAGGGAGGAGGGAGGCCCTGGCCAGTGACAGGGTGCGGGCAGAGGGCGGGCAGGAGGGCAGGGGCAACCGGGGGACCCAGAGGAGGAGCGCTCACCGGTGTACTCCCCCAGGATCAGCCGGGACATGATCACAGTGAAAATGGGGGCGGAGCTCTTCACCGTCTCCGCAAATGAAACCGCCACATTCTTCAGGCTGACCAGACCCAAGACCACTGTCGCAAACCTAGAAAAAAGCCTAAGTATCATCAGCGTGCATCAGCCCATGTGTAGCTATTCTCCTGACTGCGACAAGTCAGCCGGGCGGCTGGGCACACTGACGCCCCCTCCCTCCTGTGACATCGTAGGGCCGGCCCTCCAGGAACCACCAGCCCACCTGCCAGGGGTTCCGCTGGGACAGTGGCTGGGACAGTGTCGGAGAGTGTCAGCCCAGGGAGGAGGAGGCCCGTCATGCTCAAACTATGATCAAATGAGTCTCATGGCTGTTCCAGACCAGTCTGATCAAATGGAGATGGCATTAAGGTCCATAAACCAAACACATTTATTGTCCAGATCTCGACAGCCCTTATAAAGTTAGCATTGAAAACACCCACGATCACCTAATCATGACATCAGCCAGCCAACTGCCCATTCGGTGACGGAAAAGGTAGTTGATACACAGAGTCTTAGACACTCAAGCGAGAAGCAGCCTCCTTACCTCATCAGGCCCACGAACAGCATGGTCATGATGAAGTTGGGTGGGTAAGAAAGCCGGGTTTTGTGCTGATATAAACAGCACGGGACAAATATTTTCAGGCACCCAATAAACGTGGTGGACAACATCTGCACAGCACCTGAGGATGGAGGAGGGCCAGGCGGGCAGAGGATTACTTCCTGCCACCTGCACAGCAGGTGGTACATTGTCCACAGCCCAGGGCACAGTTACGAAAACCCTTCAGCTACCTTCCTCCCTCCCAGGCTGCTGTCTCTCCCTGACACTAACCACACGGAAAGCTTTGACTCCACAGCACAGGGGCCCTACCGTCTCTCCACAGGAAGGTTGCATCCCAAAGCCCAGTCCTCACCTGGGAGGTCGCCCCCCACCCCGCCCTCCACAGGAAAGTCGCCCCCAACCCTCGTCCTCACCTGGGATTTGCCCCCCC